GGGAGCACCGGGCCCCGCGCCCGGGCCTGCTCCTGGTCCTGCCCGGTCCCGACCACGGACCTCCCTGGTCCTGCCCGGCCTTGGTCCAGGTCCTACCCGGCCCTGGTTCTGGCCTTGGTCCTGGTTGGTACCGACCCTGCTGGGCCTCGACCCTGCTCCTGGTTCTGGCCTTGGTGCTGCCTGGCCCAGCCCTGTCCCTGCCCTGGTTTGCTCTTGGCGCAGACCCCTGCCCGGGTCCAGTCCAGCCCCAAGCCCGTCCTGGCCCTGCCCGGGCCCGGTTCTGGTTCTGGTCCTGCCCGGGCCCCAGGCCCCAGCGGTTCCTGGTTGTGTTTTCCTGTCGGTGCCCGCGGGGCTCCCCGCGGCGCCTCGTGTCCCCGTGGTGAGCGGCGCTTTCCGGGGTGTCCTGGCGCCCCGCGCGGCACCGGGGCCGCCGCGGCCGCCGCACCGGCGACGTGAGGCCCGGGAGCCGCGGGCGGGAAGGCGGCTCGGCGCCCGCCTCCCTCCCCGCCGCGGCACCGGCTCCGTCCCGCCGTGGGACCCCTGTCCCGCGCCGCGGCCTTGCCTCGTGCGGCCCAAAACAACAGAAATAGGAAGCGAGATGTTGAGCCAACTCGGAAGGACTTGAGGTGGTTTTTTTTAATATCTTGGTCTCCTGCATAAAAATGAGTGTTTTTAAGACGGGCTGGTTTCCATGGCAGAGTTGTTTTCCCCATCAGAAGCATAGAACAAAGTGGCGGTTTTAGAGACAGTCCTGCTATGAGCTGCACGTGTGTTTGAAGCCAAGCRTGTAAGAGCTTACGGGAGGACTTTATTTGTTGTGTGTTGTGGCCCTCGCRAGGGTGAGGGAGTGAATGTCCAGGCTGCTGCTATTGCTCTGACTTAGAAGTACCCGGCTTAGATTTACCCGGCTTAGAAGCACCCGGGCAAGCTGTTTGCTTTCCATGCTGTGTGGTTGGTTGGTTGGTTTGTTTGTTTTTTTAAAGATCCAGCGGATGGTGGGGTAGCAATTTCCATAGCAACCGATGGTGATGCCGCGGTAGGCAGAGTTACGGTGTCGGATACGCAACAGGAGCGGGTTCTGATCCGCAGCGGMCGAAGCGCTACCAGCAAAACCTCCCTTGGGAGAAGGCACGTGAAGATCGGAGAAGAACAAAGTCGCTTGAAATCCCAAACGGGCCTTGCTGTCATGTGCTTGAAGCGTGCAGTCGTTTGGGGACTCCTGGGCTTTCCCAGGGCTAAAATTCCCTGAGAATCCAGGCATCCAAGGYAGTGTCCTGTCTGGAAGTGCCCGGAGGCCCAAGGCGCTGCAGGAGCCCTTGGGTCCGAGCCCTTCCATGGCAGGGGATAGCAGCTGTGTGGGACGGAGGGTTTAGGACGTTGTGCCCAGCACGAAGCAGGGCCTGATGCTGAGCACCTGGTTGCAGCCTGAGGGGCACCGGAGCRTTTGTGTTTCATGAATGTAGAGTTGCCTTGTAGGTGGGACAGGGTGAATTTGCAAGCTCCTGGTTCAGAAACGGGCGAAGATTGAAAGAAAGGGTGGGTAATAAAGAGAAAACAGCTTAAAAACCTGTGCTGGTTTTGTTCTGGGAGCAGTGAAGTTCCTCGTTGGTGGCCTTCGCTTGCCCTCGGAAACCTCGTGGCTGCCGATGCTTGTGGCACGGCCTGTGATACGCAGGGTTTGTGCAGGGACAGCGGGCCCCCCCGAGCTGCCCGTTGGGACGGGCACCATTGGGACCCCCGTGTCCCTGCATCGGGATTCGCTGGGTGGGCAGCAGGGAATCCGGAGCTGGAGCGGAGGGAAGGRGTCGCGTGGCTCCGCGCAACCCCAGTGCAGCCCATCGTGTCTCCCCAAGCTCCCCGCAAGGAGCCTCTCCTGCCCCGTGTTCCTGGCTGCCGGCTAAGGTGTCAGGAGGGAAAGCAGAGCCCTCCTTCCCTGCGCCGCGCTGGGGTCAGGGGCACCGAGCAGCCTCCGCGGGCAGGAGCAGCTTTCTCCTCGTCCGCCTCCGCTAGCGTGGCCCGCAGAAGCCCGAGGTAGAGCCCCATGGTTATGTGTTGGGGAAGGAACTCGGCGGCCGTAATCGACCGCTGTGTTTTCCCAACGCAGCGGCTCGGAGGCCRCGCTGGTGGTGCCTGAAGGGCGAGAGCTGGGGCAGGGCAGTAAGCACGGGWGGAAAACGTGGTCAACTGCAATACCAAGAAACAGAAATGTATCTCCTTATAGCAGACGAGTCTGAAAACGGTACAATTACAACCAGGAAACTGGAGTATAAATGCAGGAAAACCCATGAGGTTAATGAGATGAGAATAAATCAAGAGCTAAGTGGCTTATGGACCCTGTGGAGACCTTGCTAGGGAGGGATTCTTGTTTTGCTAGACCTTATATCAAGACAACTGCAAACAAGTTTATTAGCTCTGCTCCCCTCAAGTAGATGGGGACCGCTCGTCAATACCAAGTGGTGAAACACGGAGTCAGGGTTCAGAGGAACCGTCTTCCAGCCCTATCCATAGGGTAAGGGGGCCGTTCCTTGCTGTGCAGGTTGGGGAAGCAGCTCGGATCTGTGCGTACCGTGTGCCGGTGGGGTTGTACGGGGACCCGGGGGAGTGTGGCCTCTGCGTGACCAGCGCTAGCAACGAAAGGGAACTCGAGGGTTGTCTTAGATTCCCTATTATTAGAAGCGAAAGTACGCTGTCTTTCCTGCCCGCTGCCAGGTTTCTGCTGCTTCTTTAATCGGACGCTTTGCTCCCTCTCCGTGCTCAAATTCCTTCTGCGCTGGACTCCTCAGTTCCTTGTTTTGATCTGCTGAAGCAGCCAGCAGTGCAACAGCCAATAGTGACGCTGGGTGTTCAGGTTATTTTTACCCGAGTGCTAATTCTGGTGCAGGGGAAATTCACTCAAATACATGGTACGGTCCGCTTAGGAAATGAAGCTTTCCTAGCCGGGGTTAAGAGTGTTAATGATTAGAAAAGCTCGTGTTTTGGCAGGGTTTGAGCACTGCACGTGTGACATGCAGCAGCAAACGCTGCCTCCCTCCCCGCCGTGTCGCTGGCGGGTGCTTGGGGACACGGGCTTATCTTTACCGAGGAGGAAACCGGAAGGCGTGAGAAAATAACATCACGGTAAACGGCAAAGTTCAAGAACTTAAGGAAGGCAGGCAGCGCTTTGAGCTGCTTCCCTACCTATGCAAAATAAGAAACTTTCACCAGCTCATGTTTTGTTGGGGGGGTGGTAGCCAGTCTGCAATATTTGCAAAGAAACTTTCCAAACATATTGATTCCTGTGCTCAGAGGTTTGCGTTCAGCTCGCCGGTGGCTCTGCTCTTCTGCTAGAAGGTCCTGCACTGCTCTCATTTATTCAGCCAGCTTTTCTCAGCCCTGTGTTTCGTTTCTGAGAACCCTGTGGGCTGCAACGAGGCTGGTAAATATGAAGCCGGTTTCAGTTGGGTTCAGTTCAGCCGAGGTGGGCGCAGGCGCTGCTTGCCCGGAGGAAGCCCGAGAGAGCCCCTGGGTCTGGGCACGGCCTCCTCAGTGCCGCCCATCCGCAGGGAGGAGGAAAAGCTTCTTTTCCAGGTGTCTTCCATTTCTCCCTCTGATGGTTTTATTTATGTCAAGTGTGATCAGTGTACCCCAACACTTGCTGCCAAGTTGCAATAAGTGACTTAGATTCTCTTCTGTACATTTGTATTTCTTGATTTCTCTTGGTTCCTTGTGACCTTGTGGAACCCATGTTTTTTTCCAGCAGCTTCTTGCTTTCACAGGTGTGTTTTTTCAGGGAACGTGGGGTGGGATAGGGTGAAAGGGGCTGGATTCCCCTGGCTGGACCTTTCCCCTTTGCTGCTCCACGCTCCGGCGCACAGCAGCAGGGAGCTCGATGCTTCTTAGGATGGCTGGGGTTGCTGACGGGCAGGCTGCCCCCGCCGGGCAGAGCAGAGAGCTCCGGGTGCAGACATGGTGAACGCCGACTAGTCGTCCCGTGGCTACCGGGGTGCGCGGGACCCTCGGGGCTCCCTGTGGCCACTGGGCTTGACGGGGCCCTCGGGCACCCCGCAGCCGCTGGGCTCGATTTGGGCGCTCCCCGTGCGCTCGTGCCGCCTCTAGCGAGCGCTTTGCAGCGGGGTCAGCTCCCTCACCAGCCTGGGGAGCTTGCGCAGCCACAGCTGGCACAGGGGAGGCCGTGGGGAGGAGGAGGATGAGGAGGAGGAGCGGCACCGTGTGCTCTCCGTTTGTCCCTTGGTGTGAGCGCTGCTCGCAGACTAGGCCGAGCCCTTGCAGGACCCCACAGGGTAGAGGGCTGCTCTACCCCTGGCCCGTCCTTACCTTGGTGCTCAGTTTAGTGCTTGGTGCTCAGTTTAGTGCTTGGTGCTCAGTTTAGTGACCAGACCTGGTAGGAAGGGCCAAGCACCGGGCAGGGTGCCAGCCAGGCTGGCACGCATGGCACTCAAACAGGGCACAGTGCGTGCAGTGCCCGAGCAGCGCCCAGCTCCGCTTCAGCAGGTGCTCGACCAGCACTGCTTAACTACTCAGAAAATGCCAAATGCTGGATTTTTGGGGAATCTACTGCACTTTTATTTTTAGTGCAGAAAATTGTTTTCCTTGGTGCTCATCTGTTTYTCTTCCTCACGCTGAGTGAGCTGGACCTGTTCGGAAACAGCCGCAAAATGAAGCACCAAAAGTTCCCCAGGAACTTAAGGAAAATGTCWGGACAGGGAGGGTGCCCGAGCCCTGGCCCAGGCTGCCCAGGGAGGCTGCGGAGGCTCCTGCTCTGCAGATCTGGCACCGCGCCGGGATGCGCCCGGGTGCCCCGTGCTCYGGGTGTCCCTGCTGGAGCAGGGGCTGCGCTGGGGGGGCCCTGGGGGTCCCTGCCACCCTTAGGGATTCAGTGATTCCATGATTCTGTGATTCTTCCTTCTTGTGCTTTCTCTAAGTATTTTACCATTTCATTGTTTATGGTGTATCCTAAAGCTTCTCTTAAGTCCTTTTTGTTGTTGTTATGTATTTATTTATTCTCTCCCATAACTTCAGGCTCTTTCTCTAGCAGTGCATTTCAGCCTCTGCCTTCGCTTGCAGGGGCTTGGAGGCCTGGCGCTGAAGTTGGGGTGTCCGTGCTGTAAATGCCCGTGTCGGGGGCTGCCCTTTGGGTCGGCGGGAGCCGCTTGGCTCCCAGTGCCACAGAGCCCGTACGGGCGCAGAGCGTCGCTCACGGCCCCGTGCCCGCACGGGGCACCCGCGTGATGAACCGGAGCAGACGGGCGCAGTGCAAGCGCCGCCCAGCCGAGCCAGACTGGCTGGGCAGGCTCTGGGGCAGCTCTGCGTCGCGACCGCCTCGCGCCCGGCAGGCTGAGCCTAAGTGGGACGCCGCCTGGGCCTGGCCCTGGTCCCTGYGCACACATCTCCCCTCCGCTTCCCTGGCTGACCGACAAGCTTGAGGTTGGAAGCAGTGCCTTCGAGTGATTCAAAATTGTCAGGCTCATCGATGCAAGACCGGCAGCATGAAGCAAATACAGGTCTTCATCATATGTAGTGTGCAAAAAATATTGCACTGTTTTCCAGATCCAACTGAGATAGCCGCTCTCTGGTTAACATCTCTATAAAACACTGTGATTGAGTGCCTAGTTTGGGTTATAAATTAAATAGGAAGCCCACGGTGCGGAGGACAAGGTTGTTCTGCGTGTTTCTTCATGGTTTGGAGAGAAGAGGGCCTGAGGAGGCCCGTGCTCGCTGCTGCAGTGAGTGCGGATGGCAAATTTCCTCCGTGTACTTTCAGTGAAGACCGTTCACTTAGGACTAGATGTAGGGGTTGTCACAGGCATCTGATRGTGAGCTCTAGCTGAGTTATTTACCGAAATATGAATGGGTTTGAGGATACCAYGTTTTCAGTTTTTGCAGAAAGGCACATAATATTTTAGAGGTACGAGGCCAGGAATAAGCGTGTGTTTGACTCTTCTCGTTGCTGTTGCACTGTACCCACTGTTTCCTGTTATGAAACAAGTTGCCTGTTTTGTTACCAGTTTTTCCTGTTGCTTCTGCTGTCTGTGTTTTCAGTCGGTTGTAGGCTCCCTAAGTAACTGTTTCAAGCAACTAACACCGAGCTCTCCGGTTGCCAGCAGGGCAGGGAGGGATCCTGCCCCTTTGGGGAGCACCTTGTCCCCAGGACACAAGGGACATGGAGCTTCCAGAGGGGCCAGCGCAGAGCGACAGGGCTGAGGAAGGGCCTGGAGCAGCTGTGGTGTGAGGAGAGGCCGAGCGAGCGGGGCCTGTTGAGCTGGAGAAGAGGAGGCCGAGAGGGGAGCTGGTCAGTGTGTGCAAGCAGCCGAGGGGAGGATGGAGGGAGGAAGGGCCRAGCTCTTGTGGGTGGTGGCCAGTGGCAGGCCAAGGGGCCCTGGGGCCAAGCTGCAGYGCAGGCAGCTCCAYGTGSCCGTGAGGAAGAGCTTGTTTGGTGGGAGGGTGCCCGAGCCCTGGCCCAGGCTGCCCAGGGAGGCTGCGGAGGCTCCTGCTCTGCRGATCTGCCAGCGCGCCGGGATGCGCCCGGGTGCCCGGTGCTCTGGGTGTCCCTGCTGGAGCAGGGGCTGCGCTGGGGGAGCCCTGGGGGTCCCTTCCAGCCTCAGCCATCCTCGGATTCTGTGGTTCTTGGAGCGTGGCAGCATCGTCCCGTTCRGCAGTGCCTGTGGCCCTCCAGGAGTGCTGGCCTTGTCCCTCCCAGGGTCAGGCCTCGCACTGTTTGTCACRAATAACGGGTTTGCTGAGTTGAGCTTACAGATGTAGTTCTTGAAAATACCTGCAAGGAAAGATTGGAATGAGTTGGTGAGCAAAACTACTCAAATATTTTTAGTGGTAGACTATAAGATCAAATAACGATGATTAGTTTGTGCTTGAGATTTCAGTATAAGCTTGGGTTTTTACAGCCACTTAAGTGAGATGAAATTAATTAGTACTCAAAGTAAAAATTTGCTGTACAGGTAAACCCTTGTTGTGTATCCATAGCCGGATGCAGTGACTGGAGGACTGTACCACGAGCAGAGATGGGAGCAGAGTTCGGAGAAGAGCAGACACCTTCCAAGACTGCTAAGAACCCACCCGGAATGCTGGGTCCTGGGGCAGCAGGAGCCCCTCCAAGGTGCCCAGGGCCATCGCAGGCCTTGCTGCACGAGGGCAGCTCCTGGCTGCAGCGACGTCTCTGCCGCCGGCTCCGCTGGCTGCTCCGAGCCCGGCTGCCAGATGGGCCCAGCCTGGCCCTGCTCTGGGCAGAGCTGCCTTTTAAACATCCCGCAAATCCCCTGCTCTGTACCCAAATAACACAGAAAGGAGCCCAAATAACACGGACGTCGCTCATGGATGGCAGGTCGGGCCGCAGAGCGGGGCAGGCAGCGTGCATCAGTGTTGGGGCCTCGTTGGGCCTTTCCTGGGGGAGACGGGCAGGACAGGCAGCTCCGCACCACGGCAGCGCCTTGTGCACACTGTGGGCTCCCTGGCAGGGGAAGGGCGGCCCTGGAGYCACAGGCTGAGGTGCGGGGGTCCTGCTGGAGCAGCTGGAGCCACAGCAGCTGCTCCTGCTGGCGCAGCCGTGTGTGCGGTGCGGAGCGGCGCCGTGCTGAGCGGTGCCATGCTGAGCACGGGGCAAACATGCTGAGCATGGGGCAGATGTGCAGAGCACAGAGCAGATGTGCTGAGCACGGAGCGGCACTGTGCAGAGCGCAGCGCAGACGTGCGGAGCGAGCTGGTGGCAGGGAGCCTCCTCCTGCACCTTCTCTCCCTCAACTTTATTTTGCGATAGCCAGGACTGATCCAATGCCAGGCACGGAGAGGAACGTGGCCGCCGCGCACGGTCACCGACMGACCCTGCTCTTGGGACCTGGGCGCTCTGCGCTGTCACCTCCAGCATGGCCTCGTGGTCTCGAGTCCATCCTCGCAGAAGCTGCCCCAAGCAGGAGGCTGGTGGTGCCCGCTGGGGTGCTGAGTGCTCCCACTGGGACGGTGTGTGGTGGCACATCCCGTTGGTGCTGGAGGCCGTGCTGGGCCCCGGGGCAGCGGCACGCGCCCGTCTGCAGCACTTTCRCCCCAAACGGAGCCTCTGCCCTGCCAGTGACTAGTTAACTAAACTCGTGGTGTTACGTGCAGCCTAGTCTAGCTCTTATAACTCGGCAACTGGTGCAACACCGTGTTCGAGCAGAATGTTTTATGATGGTGAGAAATTGTCACTTAGATGCTGGTGGTGTCACCTCCAGGTATGGCACTATGGGGAGCCTTGGTGAATTGAACCTTCCCCAGAAGATCGCTGATGACGTTAGCTCCTTTTCCCAAAGTTTATGCAATCTCTGAATTCCTCTATTAAGTTTGGGAAAAGAAATAGCTATTTCCAATAATTAGAAACATTTATGTGTTCTGTTGTAGAATCTCCACTCCTTGTGTTGTTGTGCTGGGTTCCGGTTCAGGCTGTTTAGGTTCCATACGAGCTGCTGGTGCCCCAAGCCCCGGGCGCGTGACCGTGCACGCAGCCGTGACGGCCCCAGGTGTCCCCCGTGCCACCTGGTGACTTGGTGAGCGTGCAGTGCGCTGCCCGTGGATCCCGTGGGAACGGGAACGTGCCCGAGCAGCCCCGCTCCCCACGTGGCCGCAATGCACGGCAAACTGGCCTGACACCTCAGCACCGTGGCCTGAAATCACCTGGACCTAATTCTAGGTTGTGGTCGGAAGAGCAAACGGAGCCTGAGGCTTGTTTATCCAGGTAGTGCCCCCTCAGCTCCCAAGCAGGCTCTGAAACTTCCAAAGGATTTTCCCTTTTTTTTTTAATGCCAAATGAAGCCGGTCTCCCAAAGGTAACTCAGGTGGTGCCAGGCAGGGAAAACAAACAGGTGCTCTGTTGTGTTATGTAAGATTTTTCTTCTAGGCTGTCCTAGTATTTATTATAACCGTAGAACGAAAAACTCACTTTAGGTAATGCTGTTCATGTGGACTGTTTCTGTGGTGCCCTGAAACACGGAGGGAACTAAACACACGTGCTTTAAGGCCTGGATGTGTCACCCCCGTGGCCGAAGGGCCCCACGTGCAGCTCCCGCGCGGCGTGGTCGGCGCCGCAGCGTCGGTGCTGCGAGGGGACCTGCCGAGGGCCCCGGTGTCTGCGTGGATACGGAGGCGGGCGCAGAAGGGGCTGTGAAGCGTTCAGCTCGGCGAGCCGCCCTTGAAGGAGCGAGGCGGGTATTTTCCCTTCTTTGGAGGGCATCGTGATGTAGTGGGTGTCTCTGGAGCGGGCGGCTCTTGATGTTCTTGCGGAGCACCACAGGCAGCCCCAGTTTGCAGGCACGGGGCCGGCCGCGCGCAGGGACAGCGGGGCCGCTGCAGTGAGCAGCTTCCTCCCAGAGGTTTAATTCCTTGCCGAAATACCGCGTGGCAGCTGCCCCCGCGCCCCGGCTGCTCCGGGAGGAGAGGAGCGTCCCGAGGGCTCCGGAGGGAGGTGAAGCCGGAGCCCGTGGGTCTGCTTCGCCCCTCTTAAAAGCGGCAGTGTGCGGCCTTTGTAATCCTCAAAGCAAACTGCAAATCCTGTACTTGGCAGTTAAGCTTTAGAGGGAAACTTGGAAACCCCTCGGGACTGCTCGTAGCCGCTCAGGGTGCTTTCCCAGAGGGGCCGGGCGCGAGAATCTCCTCAAGAAAGAACTGTGGCCGAAAATATCTAACTGTTCACCTCATTAAATCATTAGCAGTCGGGCGAAGCAGAGGTTAAAACTTCAGAGGCTGCTCTTTGCTCTCGGTTGCCACGAAGCTGCTGTTCTGTGTGCCCGCGTTCTCCGGCTCGGGCCTGGCTGAAGATGCTTTTGCCTGACCCAGAAAAAAGTCCCGTTTTGTGCTATTACGTTACGGTTCACTCCGAGTTTAGTCTGTTCTTACACTAGCTCATTCTTCCATTTTTAACCTATTGCAGCTTCTCCAGCGCTTGGCCGCGTTGAATCTTAATTCAAAGCGCAGCATTTAAAAAGAGGCTGTGCCAATGCCGTCCTCGGCACGGGGCTGGGCTGCATAGCTAGATAGGGACCACGCTGCACAGGAAAACAAGGCGCTGCTTGACTCCTGCCTTGCTGGGGGACTGCAGAAGCATCGGGTACCTGGAGGCAGCCGTGAGCTCCGTGCAGAGGAGCCGGCCCCCGGAGCGGAGCTGCCCTGGGAAGCAGCGGCTCCTCCTTGCCCCTTCCTGCCGCTCCAAGCGCTTTGTCCCGCTCCTGGACCAAGCAGCGGCTTCTGGCCGTTCGGCACGGGGGGCTGCGCTGCTTTCGGGGCATGCAGGGGAGAGGAAGCAATAAAAAAAGAGCCTGTGCTTGCATTTCAGTTCCATAGTGTCATAAAGACTATGGCCTTTCCACAGGTTTTGCTTAATATATTTAAATAAGCCCGATACTAGGATACTGCCTAACTCCAAAGCTAGCTCAACAGTTTAATTTAGTGGCGTCAGTCGGGAAGGGAGCAGGAGCCCTAATGGGCTCTGTGTCCCTCGGGCCGCAAGGAGCCCGAGGGCTCCACGTCCCCCTGCTCTGCCCTTAATTCTGGCTCTCTAAATGGAGGGAGGGAAGGTGAGAAGGGAAAGGAGAGTGATGGCGGAACATGTATTTATGTAAACATTTTATGCAAAAATATTTTAGAATAGATGTTTTATTCATGTCCTGGAAACTTCTCAGGGCTTCTGCAGGCTGCAGCGAGGGCTCCTCCGAGCTTCAGAGGCCGCTCTGGATCGTGCCCCTCGGCTCTCTTTATTGCTGACCGTAGAGCCAGCTGTTTCGGGTAAGGTTGGGCTGACGGCAGGGCCTTGTTCAGAGGTGCTGCGGCCACCTGGGCCCCGCTTGGGCTGCTCGACCACGAGGAGCTGCTGAGCTCAGCCCAGGCCCCGTCATTTGCCACATCTATTGCACATAATTATGTCCTTATACCTAAGGCCTGCTTCAGTCTGCTGCAGGAACCCTGCTTGTTCCCCTCCTCAGAACTATGCCCTTGTCTTCCTGCTCTCAAAGCTCTGTGAACAGCCTCTCACCCTAGTAGTGAGTTTGGCTTTAGGGGTGGCACTGAGCTGTGAACAGCTTTGCCTACCTGATCGCGGGAGCCTGGGGCTCTATACTTGTCTAAGGCACGATTAGATCTTGCTATTTCTGCTTGGGGCTTTATTGCTCGTGACAGACCCTACTGAAAATAATGTCCAGCCCTGGTAGCACCGCTCGTGAAGCATGCGGAGCGCGTCGAATAACGCTCCGGGGCGGCTATTTTTGTGGTAGTTGGCTGGCCTGGCCTGGCAGCTTTCACACTGGAGGGTCGAGCCTGCCCAGACTTGGCTCTCCAGGGTGTCTGCAGCTCTCACAGCAGGAAACTGTTATATCAGGTGAAAAACATCTCTGTGATAAGGCTGAATTTCCTATTCCTGTCAAAGATATCACACCTATCAAGGGCAGACATGGGGCCCATTTTTTGGAATGGTGCGTGTTAAAGAAACCTAACTTTTCAATTAGAGATTAGGTAGGTCAGAAAGAAGTGAAGGTTGGTGAAGAGAGTGTCCATAAGATCTACCTTGTTGTGTGTGTATTTTGTTTTCCTGTGTCTATGGGATGCTACTGTGCAGGAGAAGGCAGCAGGTGCCTGCCTGCCTGGTGGGTTTGCTTCTTCTCCCTGTTGCACAGCGGGTTTCCTTGGCCCCTGTGCCACTCTGTTTTACCTGGAAAACATCTGGGACATCTTTTCTTCATGGTCTGGAAAGAGGTATCTTCCTTCTTGAGCTTTCCCCCCACGTAGTTAGTAAACTTCACTGCTATTTGTTCACCTTTCTTCGTGCCTTGTATGAATGTGTGTCCAGGGGAGCTCCTTGCTGTAATCCTTGCTACATGATTGAAAAAAACCCCAAAACTAAACAAACAAAAAACTTTTCCATGTGCTGTAAACATTTTCCATGTTTAATCTGGAGAATGAGCACCGAGAGCGTGTTCCTCAGGAGCCTGACGCGGCATCCTGAAGTGCAGTGCGAAATGGCCTTGAGAGGGAGCTCCAGAAATACCTGCCTAGCTCGCCATTCCCCCTTGGGAGATGGGGAATCCTGGGGAAGAAGAGGCTGGGGAGGTTCTTGCTAAGGTCATTAAATATCCAGCGGGAGGGTGTAACGAAGA